GGCCTTGCCTGGGGGCCTGCCAGCTCCATTCCCCCTGCCTGTCAAAGTCCATTCTGGTCTTATCTGAGTCTTGCTCTCCTTCCCCCCCGCAGCTCTCTCCCTCTACATGCTGCTGCTGTTTGAAATCGAGACCGGCATCACCAGCGCCTGCATCCTGTCCTCGGGGATCATCGTCCTGCTGATCACGGTGACGCACGCCCTCGTCCGGGCTTCCCAAGCCTCGCGGCGCAGCCAGGCCGAGCTCTGCCGTACCCTCTACGAGAACGACTCCGCCCGGCGCAGCAACGCCCCCGCCAGCGACCTCAACAACAGCAAGAACGTGGCCGCCGCCCGCCCGCGGCCAGAGATCCACCGAGAGTTCTCCTACCCGCCGTACCTCGAGCAGAAGTCCCACCTGGCCTCCTCGGCCAGTCACCTGGCCTCCTCGGCCAGCGGCAGCTTCACCTTGCCAGGGAGCCACAGGCCGCTGACCGAGAAGGATTGCTGCAGCCTGCCCCGGACACACAGGACGCTGTCGGCCGAGCCCGGCCTGCTGCAGGTGCAGGGCAAGCCCTGGAACAGTGTCACCCAGGAGATGAGGAATGTTTTGTCCCGGAAGCCAGGAGCCTCTGGGAAAGATTCAACTTTGGTATGAAGGCTGGAGGGGGGACGGTTCGTCCCAGCACATTACAGGGGTGCGGCCAAGATCTGTATCTCCCGTTAGCCCTTGACGCGGGCCACTCCCGTCCCGACCCCACCTGAACAGCTGCGATCCCTGCCCGGGAGCTCACTCAGACATTGGGCAACGCGAAACCCACCGTCTTCCCCAAATAAAAGGGCCTTGGTGAGCCCTCCTGCACTGCGATAGAGGGGTGTCGAGTTCTAAAATTATATCATACTCCTCCTGCGGTCTGGTGGATGATGTGAGTCCTTTCCCAGCTGGGCTGGGGCTGCCGTTAGCCAGCCTAACGGGCCGGCACTTCCAGCTGGAAAGGTGGCTCTATAAAACTCCAGCCTGCTGCATTCTGCCTCTTGCATCCCCCTCCCGGGAGGAGAGATCCTACCCTAGTAACGCAGAAGGGGAGGCAGGAGGCCAAACTAGGCCCACGACAGCGTGACAGAACTAAGAGGCACCAAATCACAGGGCAGGGACCGGGGGTGTCACTCGTCGGATGAGCGCCGCACTTCAGTGTCTCATTTCCTGTTCCCTCCTGGGCCCGGCTGAGCGGGGAGCAGCGTTCCCCCCAAGCGGTGCCCTTGTGCGGCCGTTCAGCAGCGCGTCAAATGTGGATTAGCAGAGTGCCCGCAGCCAGGTTTGTCTTTCTGCATCCACACACGCCTCGGGGCGCCAAGAGGCACGTATTCCGCGCACGGATGGGAAAAACCCGCACGTGGATGCTACGGATTCAAGGGAATATTGGCTGGGAGGGGCAGACGGGAACGGACAGGTTCAGCCCGGCGCAATGGCATTCATCACTTATAGTGGTGGGGAGAGGGGGAAAAACACCCACCACCAGTATCAGCTCCAAGGGAGTGGCCTAACCTATGTTGTCTTCTCCAACCCAGCTCCCGTCCTCACCCCCGGTTTTTTGCCCTTCTGCTCCCACTGCAGCCTGCTCCTGTTATTCCTCAGCTACGCTACAGGGCTTCCGACAGTTCATAGGGAAGACCCGCTCCAAAGCACGGCTTGCTATCCCCCACGGAGGGGGGCAACCGGCCACGGGAGCAGGGGCCGGGAGTCGACCCAGCTGGAGGGTTCAACTGAGGGAGAGGGGGTTGGAAGTTGGGTGGAGGGAGAGGAGCCTGCTGCTCTCTGACCTGGCCTTGCCCAACGTTCCTTGCGGTGTCCTGGCTTAGAGCACAGACACGCTTCAGTCGCAAGGCTGCCCGGGGCGCGGTGGTTATGCACACAGGGCGAGGATTGACGGGGAGCCAGCAGGTGAAACAAGAGCCCTCTTTGGTGCAGTTGCACTGTGAGTACCAGAGAGAAATGTACAATCGGAAAGACAAACACAGCAGATGGGGCTGGTTACCGAGAGACACCCCCCCATCCCCTACCAGGCTTTTAAAAGGAATCTGATTCACTGCTGTTTTACTGTCACTTATCTCCCTCGCTTCCCTGGTGTTTTATGCCAGGAGTCCCAGCACAATCAATAAGTAAAATCATGAAGGTTCCTGCCCTGCCATCCGCAAGCTTCCTGCCAGGCTGCCCAACCCAGCAACGCAATGGATTGATTGGGGCTCCTGGCCGCGTTCTTTGGGCGCTAGCGTTAGGAGCGAGACAGCCATTCAGCAAGAGGCCTGGCCTCGCAAAGAGCAAGGGGAGAGCAAGGCCTCGTTTCTGGGTCAGCAAACCTTGTGCGTCACACTCTTAACACACCTCTGTGTCCCTGAACACAAGCCACTGGCTGAAATACAGTGTCTCTTTTGAAAGGGGGGTGTGATTGATCTGGGTTATTTAGCACTCTCAGGAAATGCCAGGCTTTTTCAAGTTTCAAATCCCCTTAAGCACCTTCCTTCCCAGCCCTTGGAAAACCACCTGCTTGTTAAATGCCTTTCCACTGAAAAGGAAAATGGGAGTTGTCAGCTCCAATGGAAAAACAAAACTTAACGCCTCTTTTCAACTGCCAAGCTGTGTACAGCCTCCTGCCTCACATCTTTATGATATATCAAGGCAGCCTTTGAGGAGGTAAGGGGGGAGGGGTTGGCTTCTTTTTCACATTAGAAGAACCAGGTCTTGATGTCTTTGTTTTGTTGGATTACCCAAACGATGAAGAAAATCCTAAGCAACCCAGTCCCTCTGCATTCATTTTGGGGTTCTACTCCAATCTATAACCAGCAAACTCCTGACACACACACATAAAGCTCTCCTTGAGAAAGGACTGTATGTCTCCCTCCGCACAACCCCGTCAATCAAGGGCAGATGAGTCCCCTTTTCAGTCTCCAGATGGCCCTCCAGCAAAAGCACAGAAGACTAGACACGATCGCTCTGGTATTTCCAAGGCAAAGAGCTAGCAGGAAAGATAGTTTTTGGCATTCTAGAATCATACAAGGGCAGGAAAGGGCAGAAGCAAACTCAGCAGGCTTCCCCTGGGCAAGAACTTAGGAGCATGTGCACTGCATTCCGAAATTAACCACTGCATTCTGAAATTAACCACCCCATCCCGCAGACTCGGTAAGGGCTGGATCTAGTCAATATCACTGTCCTTGGCTGCAGGGTCTTTCAGTGTGAAGAGGAATTGTTTTCTAAACAACCTCACACCGGCGGGGCCAGAAACCGTCAAGGGGGGAGATTTCTCGCCCTATCCTCTGGCCAAAGACATCACTGACCTGGATGAGTGAAAAAGGCAGAGGAAGGCGAGTCTGGTCTGAAATCAGGAACTGGCTGGTGGATTCGTGGCGTGCAGGGCAGCAGCGCTGTAAGAAAACAATCACATCCACCAAGAGATAAGGAGAGCAGTGTCCAGGGAGAGAGAGAAATCAGAGCTTCTCCACATGCACGGAGACAAGCGTGGCTCAAGGAATTGTAACTGGATGACATGACCATAACACGGGGGGGGTGGCTAGAGGAGGTTACACGGCTCCCACGCCGCCCTTCCTGGCATGTTCGGACCCAGAGTCTCTGTACCCTCCTGTCCAAGAACTGTTGGAATTTGCTCGGCTGGCGGTGTAAAATCAGTGTGGCCCCAGGCAGGTTGGCAGCATGGCAAAGTACAAGAGCCCATAGCCACAAACAGCCGGTAAAGAAAGTCACTTGGCACAGAACCGGCCATTCGGCCTGCTTCCGCCCTGTGCCAGCAACATGCCATTCCAAGCTGTTACATATGAGAGCAGCGCTAGTGAGTTTCATTCCCATAAAGTCCCCGACACTCATGCCATTAAGGCTCTCAGGGCGAGGAACAGAATATCCTGGACTCAGATCAACTCCTGGCAAAAGCGGCAGTGGCTTTCCTTGTGCTGCAAGGAGAGCAAAACGCATCCTCCAGCTACACTGACCAGTGTCCCGAGGCCTCTAAAAATCCCATCCACACACAGAGCCCCGCAAATGACCAAGCAGACGCTATCCGATCCACGCAGCGTCCCTGCTTCCTCATACACTCATTTCCTCAGCATGACAACATTAATTTATTACCATGGTCTGAGCCAGGCTACAGGCGTATTGAACCCTGCCCCACAATGCGACACGTTAGCCAAAGAGATCTCTCCCTTTTTTTAAGGGCAGAGAAATAAGTTGCGTTGCAGGAAACATTGTACACAAGAGGGTTTTCTCCCCAAAGGAAAAGGAGCCACAGTTTCATGACGCCAGGCAAGGCGCTTATCTTTGTAAGTCACGGTACGGGTGTAACTGCTCGGCTCGTCCGTAGCTTGCTGCTTTACAGTCAGCGATGCTTCCAGCAGTCAGAGGAGGCGTTCCTATAAATAGGCAGGGCGGTTATCAGAATTCAGAGTGTCAGACTCCTGAGCTATCTGCGGCCCTGAGCGGAATTCATTTGATCCTTCATGGCGATGACATGCCTGAGCAGCCTGTCGATGCTCTCGAAATACACGCTGCTGTCCATCATGTTCTTTATGGCGCTGAAACAGACCAGGGGGAGCAGGGGACGCAGTTAGTACCTTCGATGGCTTCGCTGGTTTAGAAGATACATGCAGCCCGGCGAGGGGACAGTGGAGAGGGAGTTACAGCTGCCCGTGGCATTTTGCGAGTTCAGGCACTAGCTAAGGGGTGGGTTTCTGGGGAGACACTGGCAGGTCTGTATTGCCCCCAATGGCGGGGGAAGAAAGGGTGCATGCCTCTGAACAAAAAGAACTGGAGTGGGCAGTCACGCTTCAGAGAGCCACGCCTGCTGTCAGCGTGCCTCCCACCTGACTGCCCCCACTCCCAGCTGCCCCTCCAGGTTTCGGGCTTTCTGCTGAGATGGGGCCAGTCGTGGGCTCAGTTTATCACAGCCCTGCACCTACTCCAGTGCCAAGCAAGTGCGATCTGCCATGAGGGATGTTAAATTTACATGAATCGGCTAATTGAATAGTCGATGCAATTTGCATCGACTATTCGATTGGTCGATAAGGGTGCCTCCGCCTTTGGAGTGCAGCAACAACCCCAGGGCCGTTGTGACACTTCAAAGGTGAAAGTGTTGCGGGGAATACGGGGCCAGCGGACGACTCAGGCAGTCCCCTGCTGGCCCCGTGCTCCCCGCGGCGTTTCAAAGCGGCATGGCGCCCAGGGTCAGTGCGGGAGTCTCCAGCTGGCCCCAGGCTGGATGCAGCATTTCAAAGTGGCAGGGCCGCATGGAGCCCAGGATCAGTGGAGGAGTCCTCAGCTGGCCCTGGACTGGACGTGGCGTTTCAAAGCAGCAGGGCTGCATGGAGCCCGGGATCAGTGGAGAAGTCCCCAGGCTGCACATGGCGTTTCAAAGCAGTAGCGCTGCATGGAGCCCGGGGTCAGTGGGGGAGTCCCCAGCTGGCCCTGGGCTGCACGCGGCATTTCAAAGCGGCAGCGCTGAGTGGAGCCCAGGGTCTGGCCCCAGGTTGCATGTGGTGCTGCCACTTTGAAGTCTTTCTGATAGAGGCAGCAAGGGATGGGGGGGAAGCAACTAGTCGACTAGTTGTTCACATCCCTAGCTGCCACCATGCTGATTTCTGCTACGTGACACCCGACTTTGCAATGAGGTGACTGGCTCCCCCGGGGAGGATCAACTGGACCTCGTGCTATTGGAATGGGGAGGCCGGAAGCTCTTACAGGCACTTGTGCAGGAGACCAGCCAAGCAACAGCCAGGAACAGAAGGGCTTGGGGCTGGCTGGGTTTTAAATCCGAGGCCCAAATATCCAAGTCGAGGTGCCTAGAGGCTCCTGAATCCATACCAAGGCTTCTAACGGGTAGGGTCTGGGTTTGGAGAGGTGCTGAACACCCACCGCTCCCATTAACGCCTGTAAGAATCAAGGGTGCTCAGTGCTCAGGAAGGCAGGCCCCCTTTAAAGGAGGAGCTCTGTGTGCTGGTGCCTGGCTGGTTTGAAAATAGGAGCTACCGTTAGTTCCTAAAATAGACCCTCTCCCTGCAAAGGCAGAATCATTGATCTAACCGACTGAGCCTGAAAATAACCAACGTGGCTTCTCATCACTAGCAAGTGGGAACGGGCCCAACTCTGTGAGCTGTAGGGCGCTTTCAATGGGGGTGCAAACTGGGCCTGTGCTGCGAAATCACCAGCTGTAGGGCGCTTTCAATGGGGGTGCAAACTGGGTCTACGCTGCGAAATCACCAGAATGCGGGGAAGGGGGGGGACAGAGAAACACCAGCAGAACAATGAACTGGGTCTCCTCGGCAGCCCCGTTGATATACCATCGGTTTTAAAAAGGGAGGGCTGCCGCCCCAGAGAGGGGCAAATTTCAAAGCTCTCCCAGCACCCTCCTGTACCTGCAGGCGTACTCCACCGTATAGATGGCTCCTTGACTTTGCTCCTCCCAGCTCTGCATGTCAGCCTGAAAGGCAGATCACAAGGAATGCGGAATGACACTTCTTGTCAGGAAACGCGAAGGCATCCCTATGCAGGAGACCGACACACCACCCACGTCACGCAGTCACGAGTAACAAATACAGACATGACGCACGAGCATATGTAACGCTTGAAGAAAAGGCCACTTGGGTCTAGCCGGGAGACATGGCAGGTCAGTGGTTGGAGCAGCAGGCTGGCAGTTCTGCTCCCAGCTGTGCTACTGACATGCTGGGTGATCTCAGGCAAGTCATTTAACTCTCTAGGCGTGTTTCCCTCTGTGCAAAATGCCGTTTTCCTTCGTTTGTAAAGTGCAATAGCGCTGGTAAGATAATATATCCTTAGCGAGGCTCGACTGGAAATGCACGGCTCAGCCAGCAACACACACCATGCTTACACCAAAGGCATAGATCTTAAATCTGGCTCCGCATCAATTCATCTGACAGCCAGATGGCATCTTCCTCTTAGAGTCCCGTGTCCTCCTGTCTCATGCAGCCTCAAGTTCTCAATTTTTTTAGCTGTAACTGACAGCAGACAGGCCCAATTCGAGGCTGATTTTTGTGCCATTAATAAAAGGAATCCCACATCACTAAGGATGTTACATTTAGATTAAGCAACTGACCGAATTGTCGATGGAATTGTCGGCGTTTAATCAGTCGATAAGGGCGCCTCTGCCTTTGAAATGTAGCAAGAGTCCCGCCGCCTCTTGCTACATTTCAAAGGAGGAAGTGCCATGGGAAGCACGGGGTGAGCTGGCCCCCTTCTCCCCACAGGCTTTGCTTTTGAAATGTACAAGAACCACACGAGGCTCTTGTACATTTCAGAAGCTGGGAGCAGGGAGCCGCTTGAGTCCCCCGCTGGCCCTCTGGCGCTTCTGCTTTTGAAATGTAGCAAGAGCCCCACTCTTGCTACATTTCAAAGGCAGAAGCACCGCTAGTTCCCTGCTCATCCCCCACGGAGATGGTGCTGGGGGAACCGGCTTTTAAGCCGACTCCCCCCAGCACTGGCTCCTGCTCCCCCCGCCTTGCTGCCTCTCTCTGATAGAGACAGAAGAGGTGGGGGGGAAGGAAAGTGACTAGTCGAGTAACTAGTTGACTAGTCGCTTACATTCCCAACATCACTTCAACCTTTGGGCTCTGCTGCTTTTTGCTGGGAACCACAATGAGAGTTCACCTATGAAGCCAACCCATCATAGGAGGCTTTTCCTGAGAGCTATACTCAGACTCCTCCAACATTTTTAAAAGACTGCACTTGGTTTTGTTTGAACAAGGAGCTGGCGCCTGGAGCGAAACACTTTGCAGAGTCTGGCAAACTTTCCCTTGGCTGCGGCTGCATCCATGACACAGCTGAGAATCAAGGGGAGGCAGAGGCATGCTGATGAGATGCTAATGCAAATGCTATTGATCATCTGGAAGTCCTAAAGCATTCCACCTGGGTGCACCCACATGACTAGCGGGTCAGAGCTGACCCACTCCCAATCAAGTCCAACCCAGAGTCCCAAGAGGAAAGCAGGCAATCAGCTTCTTTCACAATTCGGGAATCTCAGAGGAACTGCCCTGGTGAACATTTTTACTACCTACTTGCAAACAGACTCTTCCAGTCTGCTTAGAAATCTCGGTGCATGGGAAGTAGGAACTGCCCTGGTGAACATTTTTACTCTTCCAGTCTGCTTAGAAATCTCAGTGCACGGGGAGCCAGAGCATTAGCAGTGACTAATACAGCTAATAGTAATAATGCACGTACCTGTCATCTCAAGGGCTCAGTAAATGCTACACACACGATGCACAGGATCACTTCATGCAAATCTGATCAGCAGCAACTCTGGGGGCGGGGGACTAGGAATGTAAACGCCTCTTTAAAGTGTTAACCAGTTAAACCACATGTTTAACTAGTTAACAAGCCTGCCATGTCCCACACTGCACCACGCCACAGATGGGGAGCTGTTCTGGCCAGGCCAGAGCGCCCCCTGCCTGTGGGATGGCACGGTGGGCCTGGCAGGGCTGGAGCAGCCCTCTACCCACAGCGCATGGCAAGCGGGGAGTGGCTCTGGCCAGGCCGGGCGACAGTAAACTGGCTACCCCAGTAAGCGTTGCCGATAAGGCAACGCTTACTGGGTAACTGGATAACCCTTTACCTTCCTAGGTGGGACGTGAGAACACACAGCAACACTGTGGAACAGCTAAGAGCAGGAAGTGAAAAAGCCAAAGCTCAGTAAAAAGGCCAGTGAACTTAGGACAAGGGAGAGGTTGAAATGATCCAAGCTTCAATTTGGCCAGAATTTGTAAGCTTTGCAGCTAACACGAACACAAGTGCCTAAGTCATTTCGACAGCTTTGAAAACGGAACCCCAAAGCTGCCTGCTGTTGCAAACAGTGCCAGGGGATTGTTAATGATCACTAGTGCTCACAATGGTTCTGACCCAGCACTGCCTTGCCTCGCACCACTCTGGCACAGTGGCTCACTGCTGACTCAAAGGGAAGAGGACTAGGGATGTAAGTGACTAGTCGACTACCCGACAGGCTTACCAAGTAGTCGAGTCGAGTAGCCACTCCCCCCATCCCCTTGCTGCCTCTGATACAGAGGCAGGAAGGGAGGGTGAGAGCAGAAGCAGGTGCTGGGGGGAGTTGGCTTAAAAGCCGGGGAAGGTGGTAGCAGGGGAAGCAGAGGCACAGCGGGAAACGGTGTGAGCCAATCCAACTGCTGTGCCTCTGCTCTTGAAATGGAGCAAGAGCCCCTCGGGAACCTGGGGCAAGTGGGGACTCAGGCAGACCCCGCTCTCCCAGGGTTTCCTGCTGCACCTCTGCCTTTTAAATGTAGTAAGAGCCATAGGCGGCTCTTACTACATTTAAAAGGCAGAGGCGCAGCTGGGATAGTGAGCGCCCCACCCCACCGCTTATCGACTAATCAAGGGAAATGCCATCGACTACTCAATTAGCTGATTGATCGAAATGTAACATCCCTAAAGAGGACCCCGGTACATGGAACCCCAACACTGTTTCTCCAGCACATAGGTGCTCCAGGACGATTTTCAATTCAAGTTCTAATCTGGCTCCATGCTGCTTTGCTCAGCTCTGCTCTAGTTACTCGCGAGAGCCCACCGAGTAAAAGGGACAGGGGTCCCACAGCTGGATAGCTGGGCTGAGACAGACGGCAGGGGGATGGGTGGAGGTAGATCACAAAGTTACATCTCTCCAGAGAGCAGCTTTGCTTTGGTTCTAACTTTACCTAGCACTAGATTGCCAACGTTCCTGTCTATGATGCCAGGCCACGACGTCTGTTCCCAGCATCCTCACCGCTTCCTGGGGCGTCCATGTTCTTAATTAAGAAAGAGCCTTTCCACCGTGCGCCTGCGTTTTTAATCTTTTCACTCTGTCCTCTCAGAATTCCCAGGGCAATTCCTCGCACGCGGTATAATAGCTACCGCCAGCTAATGATATGCAACACCGCTAATGATGAATTGTGGCCGTTCAGCAGTAAATTAATGAGAAGTTCTACATCCCTGAAAGATCAGGGGAAATCCAAAAAGGCAGCTTTGAGCAGAGCTTAGCAATCTAGCTCAGACACAAGGAGGCAACCTGGGCCCTGCATCTCACTGGATCTTATCAGTGAGGCGTTAAATCTGTCTGCAGTGCTTGAGATGGATGAAAGTATTAAAGATTATTTTTAATCAAATCGATGGAAGTCACAGAGGTGACCTTCTCCCAGTGCCAACCCTTCTTCCCAAATCAGTTTGTTCCTGTATAAACGCTCGGGGAATCTCGAAGGCCGTATCTCCAGAGAACCATCTGGAACGAGACAAGGCCTATGACGTTCCATCTAGCCCACCTCTGCACCCGAACAGGGTTTTCTCTGACAAGAGATTTTCTAGCGTTTTATCCAGTTGAGTTCTAAAAGAGCCCACTTTCATTGCTTCCTTTGGGAGTGAATTCCTCAGTCTGTTCCATGGGAGATCCACAGACAACTGAGAAAGTTGGGGGCTGAAGATGCAGCAGAAGGGTAAGAGTTCAATTGAAAAGGAAGCAGGACTTTTCAGTCTAAGTCAGTTCTGCATACAAGAGCGTTATTCACAACCACAGGCCACTGCCACAGCTGAGATCTCACTCAAATCATCTCAAGAGATTCGGTCAAGATACAAACCACGTTTTACCCAGTATCTGTATCATTGTGGCTGAAAACATGATCTGCTAGATTGAGATAAATAGTTTTTCAAGGTCTAATTTCCTTTCTACCATTTAAGTTGTATTTATTTTCTTTCCGTGAATTTGGAAAGTAAAACCAGGTGGGTCAGTTTCACTTTTGTCTCTGATGTGTGGTTCTTGTGTGTCGAGGCAAGAAAACACTTTTCATGTAAGTAATTAAATCAACCAATCGATTTCTTTAGCAAGAGCATGGCGCAGTGGCTAGTCCATTGGACTCAGACTCAGAGCACCTGGGTTCTATTCCCAGCTCTGCCTGTGGCGTATTGTATGACCTTGGTCAAGTTACCTTTCCTACTCTGTGCCTAAGCCATGGAGGTTTGTCGTTCGACAAAACCGGGTAGTCCCTCCATGGAGCAAGGCCTGCCTCTCACCCTCAGCAAGTGCAAATTTCTCTGTCCAACAGGCCCTAGCAGAGCCTCGGAAAGAATCCATCTGGACCTAATTTAAAGCTTTCAGAACAATGATGGCCAGGCCTTTGGTGTTTGAAACAGCATCACTTGAAACTCACCGAACAAGAACAAACTTAAGAACAGAAGAGACAACCTGACCCAGGCTTTTCGGTTAAAAATTTACACAACTATACGCTAACATCCCTAGTAGACATACCCTACGAGACATGAATGGGTCGGATCAATGGTTCATCTAGCCCAGCACCTGGTCTTCTGCTTGACAGCAGCCAGTTCCAGAAGCTTCAGAGGGAGAACGGGTCAATTATCAAGTGACACAGCCCATCATCCAGTCCCGGTTTCACGCAGCTGAAGGGTTAAGGACACTGGGAGCATGAGGCTGTGTCCCCGACTATCCTGGCTACTAGCTATTGACCGACCTATCCTTCCTGTTGTGAGGGAGTGAGAGGGGGACCTGGCAGTGAAGGGGTTAAACAAAGCCTTTTTTTTTTTTTTTAACAATTAGCCCCACCCTGTTTTACCTGCAGCCAATGCCAGGCCTGGAGGGAGGATAAAAGAGAGGAACCTGGCTCAGTTAGGGCCTGACCAGCGAAGACACAGGAGCGGATTCTGCTGTCTACAGGGCCACAGCCATCCACTGGGTCAGCCTCAGGGGCAGGTGAGCCTCCGACCACTCCCACTGGCGCAAAGGGGGAGAACCTACGAGGAACCCGCCCTGAGGAGGGGGAAATTGGACTCTCAGGGCCATGCCCCAAACTTAAGAACTTAGACTCAGATAAGAGGCCGAAATTCCTAGGCCCGGGGCCCCAGCAGCAGGGGTCCTACACCCCTTTACCACCAGCTAACTCCGGGACCTAACACTAGGCCACCCTGCTGGCCAGGAGACCCGGCCACACCTGTATTCATCTCATTCTTCTCTGAACCCAGTCATACTTTTGGCTTTCACAACACCCCCCCGGCAAGGAGTTCCACCAGCTGACTGTGCGTTCATGGGAAGAAATCCTTCCATTTGTTTTAAACTGGCCCCCGGCAAGGAGTTCCACCAGCTGACTGTGTGATCATGGGAAGAAATACTTCCATTTGTTTTAAACTGTCTGCCTAGTAACGTTGTCAGGTGACCCGTAGTTCTCATGGTACGGGAAGGGGGCAATTCCACTTCCCTAGTCACTTCCTTCCCACCCTCATGATTTTAGAGAGATCTATCATATCCCCCCCTCGGTCCTGTCTTTTCTAAGCAGACCAGGTTCCACCCTGGTGTTCCATTGCCCCTACTCAACACCACTCTGCACATCTAGCCAGTGAACACTCCCTTTGGGGCCATGCCCACCTAATTCTATCCTGGCCAGCAGAGAGCAAAGAAGTGGAGTACGAGGGAAATTATTTTCCTCCCTTGTCAGGCAAAAGTCACTCCTGAGTCAGGTCTGGGTGCCAGTGCAGGGCAGGGATTAAGCCACGAGTCGACGCATGTGAACGCTTTTCGCTGGCACAAGCACAGACAGCAATAGGGATAAGGCCCGCTGGGTGACTGAAATCTGACGAGGTGACAGTCTCCTTTGTGTAGGGGGAAAGTGAAAAGACAGCCACTATGGCAGAAACGAACAGGCACAGCAAGAAACTACAACCGAGAACTCGAGCTGCCTCCAGAGAGGACCTGCACTTTCGAGGATAATCATGGAGACCACCCTGCTTAGCTGAGACAAATGAGTTAATAAAAGATTTAGGAGGCTCCCCCGCAACACTTCTCACCCCCACTGCCTAACACGATGAACTGTCTCTCAGGCTTTCATCCCACTGTCCTCCCCACCAGGGTTTAGGGTCCTCTTCCTGCCCTAGCACAAACTAGTCAATGCCGGTGCCTGAGACTCTCTGCACGGCTGTCTTGCCAGCTGGTCAATTTTCTTTTGCTCAGACTCTCTGAAACCAGGCCCATTCTGATTAAATCAAGGCAAATGACAGTTCGGGGATTGTATTAGAAACCTGTCCCCCGCGTCCTGGTGAAGGGACCAGCTCAATGTTGCACGACACATACCTACACAGCTCCGCTCACACACAGACATGCATACGCATCGTTAATAAATAAGTGAATAAGAAAGTGCCCCCATCCTGGTTCATTTGGAAACTACGGCTGTAAAGCAAAGGTGAAAAATGAGGACTGACAGTGCATTAGCATAGACATGGAACCGTAATCTATTCATGAGGCATCACTCCTAATGAATCCTGACTGGCAGAAACGAGGGGAGGACAGCCAGGCTAGCATCAAAGTGTCAGCATGCCGGGCTTTGGAGGCAAACGGAAGCACAGCTGCGGGGGGCAATTCATTAGAGTCCTATGCCTCTGGTGGGCTCTTCTTGCTTGTTTCTCTCCCCATAGTTTATGTAATAAAAGCATCTTCCGGTGCAGCCAGGGGAAATGGGACTGATCATCTCTCTCCCCAGCCAAGGCAGGTAGCACATTTTCCTTTGTCTCCATGTATAGAACAAAGGGGCTGATGCCTAGTGGTCAGAGCGAAGGGGTGGCAGTCAGACTCCTGGGCTATGTCTACACTGGCGCGATCTTGCACTAGAAATATGCAAATGAGGCTAAGCGTGGAATATCGCCAAGCCTCATTTGCATATCTAATGAGCCGCCTTTTGCAGAAGAGCCTCTTGGGCCAGAAGGAGTGTCTACACTGCCCCTTCTCGTGCAAGAAAAACCCTCTTGCGCAATGTCGTTACGCTGATTATGTTCAGGAATAACAGCATGGCACAAGAGGGTTTTTCTTGCAGAAGAAGGGGCAGTGTAGAGTCTCCTTCTGGCGCAAGAGCCTCTTCCGCAAAAATGGCAGCTCAGATATACAAATGAGGCTCAGCGATAGTCCACGCTTAGCCTCATTTACATATTTCTGGCACGAGATCGCGCTAGTGTAGACATAGCCCTGGGTTCTTTTCTTGGCACTGCTACTGTCACAGTGCATGAAAAAGGCATTTCACTTCTCGATTCAAAATGACGTGGGGGAAACCATATCAGACCACCCCCAGCCTTCACTGGTCCAGGGAGCAAAGACTCACAACCCAACACAGTGCTCTAGGCTAGGTGCCTACCTGGCAGTAAAAATGCAGCCACTAGAAGGCCTTGGCCAGCAGCAAAGTCTCTTTCATTCTGCTTTAACCCAATAGGAGCCCAGAAGCAACTAGGAGCTTGAAGGTCAACCAAAAGCGGGGGGTTCTAGCCATTTGGGATCTACGACTGCCAGCAACTATCTGATGCTGCTTATTAAGTCACTCTGCTCTGCCCTTCTGGGGATCCTTTCATCTGATGGTCCCAACGTGCTTTACAAGCATTAGATAAGTTTCATCGCAGGCCAGTCTTACCATCTCAATTGTACAGATGGGGAAACTGAGGCAGGGAGCAGCGACTCTGACTCTCCCAAGTCACGGAACAATTCAATGGCAGATCCAACGACAGAACCCAGGAGCGCTGGCTCCCAACCACCACTACTCCCACCCTGCCTCGATTACCCCCCTGCTCGCTCCCACCTCAAAAAAAGTGGCACTAGTGTCCTGGGGAGAGCGGCAGCTTGTAGCCTGCTCCTGCCAGCCCTGGACTCCTGACCCCAAACGGGCTCTCACCTTGTGCTGTGCTAGCTCCGGAAGGGAGCGCCGGACATGCTCCTGCAGTCGGTACAGCGCCACAGATGGCTCGTTGGCTAGGATGTACATGCTCTCCGTGAACTTGTCTGTCACTAAAATAAGCAAAACAGCTGCATTATTTCAAAAGGAATGAACAAGAAGGTGGCAAAGCTCCAAACCCTTTGTTGTGTCTATCTAGCCTATCAGCAGGTACATTAAAGCAAAATCAAGCTAAGCACAGATTTGTGTTCGGAATCTCTCTCCCCTTCCCCAACCCTGGCTCACAGAACAGCAGCAGGATTTACTGTACTCTCTGGGGCTCAGGAACAGGCTGACTCTGGCAGGTTTACTAGCCATAAATCCCTCGGGGAGGTCACCTGCGGTCCTGTAAGATCAAGATGCTGTGGGGCTTCTCTGGGAGCAGTAACATCTTTGAACAGATTCTGGGGCACCTTAGCCAAGCCAGCAGATTAGCAAAGCCAAAAAACAATCTTGAAAATTAGCTTTTGTTCCTGCGCCCGAGCAAGCCGGGAGCTAACGGCAGAGAAGGAGCTACTAACAACTCAGAAATCCAGACTGACCTAGGGTTTGAGGTTCTCTTTCCGGCTGCTCACCCAACTCAGCTCCGTACATCCCAACAGCCCCTACTGGACTCCTAACAGAGTACACCGTGAACAAAGCAGCACGCAGCTGGTGTGACAAACCCATTGTATGAACATGGCTCTGGTAGGGATGTAAGTGACTAGTCGACCATCCGATAAGCACTTATTACTAGTCACTTCCCCCCCACCCCTTGCTGCCTCTATCGGCGAGAGGCAGCAAGGAGCAGGGGAGTAGGAGCCAGCGCTGGGGGGATCCGGCCCAGCACCGTCTCCGCAGGGGGCAGGAGAGGCAGAGGCACATCGGGGAAATGGCATGAGCCAAAACTGAAGCAGTCCCCACTTGTGCCAATTCCAATTGATGAGCTTCTGCTTTTGAAATGTAGCAAGAGCCCCATGCTTGGAGCAAACCAACTCCTCTTGCTTCCTCCTAATAGCACAATTCCTTTAGGAACCCTTCCCCCACTGATATCCCCCCAATGTTCTACGCCAGCGGTTTTCAAACATTTTTTTCTCATGACCCAGTTAAGGAAAATTGCTGATGCCTGTAACCCAACATAATCTGATTAGAAGTCAGGGCTGGGGCAGGAGGGGCTGACCTTGAGTGGCTCCTGGTCAGCGGTGCAGCGAGGGGGCTAAGGCAGCTTCCTGCCTCTCCTGGCACCGTAGACCCTGCTGTGCCCCAGAAGCAGCCAGCAGCAAGTTCCTAGCCAATGGGAGTGCTCAGGGCAGGGGTAGTGCGCAGAGCCCTGAGTTCTCTCCCCCCAACCCAGGAGATGGGCCAGTTGTCAGCCACTTCTAGGGCACAGCGCAGTCTGCAGTGCCAGGACAGGCAGGTTCCTGCTTTAGCCCCCGTCCTCCCACTGGTCACCTGATCCCGCCTGCAGCAACGAGACCCAATGCTTGACATTCCATGACTTCCCCCACGCTGCTGCCTCTGATACAGGCAGCAGTGTGAGGGGGAGGCAGCTCCCCCCTCACTGCCTCTGTGGGAGGCAGGTGGCTCTGTGGAGCCAGCATGTGAGGAGAGCTGGCTTAAAAACTAGCTCTCCACGCCTATCAACTCCCACCTCCCCTCCTGCTGCTGCCTCTGATAGAAAATGGCAGTGCGGGGAGGGGGATCAGCTTGTGAGAGCCAATATATGTGGGGAGCTGGTTTGAAAGCCAGCTTTCCCACGTGTACTGGCTCCCTCCTCCCCGCCCTTGCTGCCTCTGACACAGAGGCAGCAAGGGTGGGAGGGAATGTGTGTAATCAAGAAGATTAACCGATAAGTACAGGCTGCACTATGACATCCCTAATCTGCACTGGTGCAGCTAAATCAGTAGCAAAAAACCCTGTGGGATTATTTTAACCAAATCCTCTTGTTTTAATTCACATGTGAAAGCTCTGTCTACTAACTACAGACCTGCAGCAAGTCAGACAGTAATGGATTTAATACACTGAAAGAGGGCAAGGTAGTCCCATAAAATAAAAAGTCAAACATTTCAAGATGTATCTTTTTCAAAAAATTATCTTTAAATGAGCCACAGGAACAGCCTGTGGAACTCCTTGCTGCAGGAAGCTTAGCTTAGGAAGGGTTAAAAAAAAAAAAAGCAAAAATGTATCTGAAGAACAGAGACAAGAATGGTCTAGATTGCGTTTGGTCCTGCCATGAATAGATTTGATGTCTCTCGATGTAGCTAAAAAGTAGCATTTTAATGTTGGTACAAGAATGCAAGTATAATGATGGTAGTAAGTCCTATATGATTTGTTTATACATTCTAAATTCTTCTGTTTGACCCTACCAGCTACCTTTCATAATTAGACAATGTTCGCTATAAGGTCTTGCTTCTTGTTAGCATGACAAATTAAGTTGTGCCTTTTGTCTGCATTGCAAACTAGAGATGTTAAATATCAGTTAATTGAATAGTTGAGTACCTCATGAATTCTTATCCGTTAGTTGACTATTCTATAGTCCCCGAGGGTGGGGCCAGCAGCCAGTGCGCTGCAGCCTCACTCCCGAAGAGCCCTCTGCCACTCCGTACTGCTGCCTTTGTATCAGGGGCAGCAGCGTGGGGTGCAAAGTGGGAGCTGGCCCACAAGGGGAGCTCATTTAAAAACCAGCTTCCCTCGTGGACCAGCTGCTTGTCACCCTGTGTTGCTGCCTCTAATAAAGAGGCAGCAGCGCAGGGTGGCAGCAGGCCCTGTCTTGGGTGGGGTCTGAGCTCCTGGACCCAGCATGAGCCAGAACTGAGCCAGGCTCCTAATACACTTTAAATACAGAGCTGCAGCAGGGTAGGTCCCAGACCGATTGCTGGCCAGCCTGCTAAAAAATTGACTGGTAAGGGGGTAGGGCTAAAAAATGTACTGGCAAGAGGTGGGGGGAAAATGTGTGTAGTCTATAGCATTAATTTGCTTATCGGTTAATCGACTATACTATTACACCCCTATTGCAAACTAAATTGTGTCCTTCAGTGACTATATAACCCTTTCTAAAATGTAATCCTGTCTGAAATGCTCCGCAAAATTGGTTAGCAGGAAATTCTCTGTAAATTGTTTGGTGTGAGTGGAGGATGGGTGCATAGTTGAAGGATGTGTGTGAAAGCCATCACAGATGCCAAGATGGTCAAAAAGACATGAGAAACTTTGAGATGATCAGAGAGCATTCATTGTACTTGATGAAACTTGGACACAGGTGGAGATAAACAATCATAGAATGGGATTCAATGGGAAGCTTGATCATAAACATCAAAGAATTAACTGAGGGGAAACCCCCAAGAGCAACATATCAAGGATTGTTGCCTGACCATAAACATCAAAGGATAACTGCAGGGAATTCCCCCATGATTAACACATCAAGGACTGCAGCATGACAATGCAAAAACCCATAAATTCAAATAGTATCTTACGTATATAAAATGGGGCGCTTCCTCCATGGGACTGAGTTTGGTCCTGCAATCCAAGCCTCAGAGGAGCCTTGAATCGGGATCAACAAGACTCGGCTCCTCCCTCATGTTCAATCTAAAAGGCTAATAAACTGACTTGAGCCATGACATACTGGTAACAGAGAGAGGGTGCATGTGTTCATGCACACGCTGCTTTTCATAGTTGTATTTTCAATAAACACAACATATTGCCTTTCCCCCTTAAAAAAAGGCCTCGGGTGCTTCTGATAAGCACAGCTTTGAGATTTCTTCCAGTCCTACAAAACGAGAGGTGGTCAGGGAACACCTGAGGCTATAAACAGTCCTTTCCACCCCACCCACCCACATCAGGCTGCACAGACACCCTACAATTGCACTTCCCGCAGAGCTGATCTGAGGCTCCATCACTGCCCTGCCCCAACACAGAGAATGCCGTGTCACCACCCAGGAGGGCAGGCAAGGCCCCTACGCGCACCTAGGGAGCTGCCTCTCCATCCCACCCATGGGAGAACACTCAGGGGCCTTATAGCCACTTCCCCCCCACTCCTGGATACTGCCCGGGAGCCATATAACCCTTGGGCTGCTGTTCTGGAACCCTGCACTGTTGGGCCCCACGCCCCCCCATCCCTGCCCTAGGGCCCTATGACCCCCCCCCAGGGTCCTGTCCTGGGGCCTTA